TGCAGAGATGGGGCTGCGCCAGCAGGGGCCAATGGCGTGCGCCCCCCCCATCCTGCCCCTCCTTGTCCTGACACGCCCCACCCTGGGGCCCAGCCTCAAAGCATGCCAGGGACACAGGCATCTGGGATACACACACACACACACACACACACACACACACACACACACGGGAGCCAGGAATCCACGACACACATGTACACAAATGTACACACACAGATATGGAACCCAGGTGTCCAGGATGCGCACACACATGCACACACACAAGCGCACACGGAGCCAGGGATCCACAACACGTGCACATGGAACCCAGGTGTCGAAGAGCAGCAGCCAGACCGGAGTCAGGCCCAGGTGATTGGGGCGCTGGCAGGATAGACCAGACAGAGGTAGCATAGATCCTGTGCCCTCTGACCCCTGGGAAGCGATGCAGGTTTTGGGGGGGACATTTCTCCACCCAGTTGACCTCTGACCCCCATTTGGGTTCCCCTGGTGTTTGGAGAACCCCTGCATCCAGCACACATGCACATGTGCACGCGCGCGCGCGCACACACACACACCACCCAGGCATAGGGGTCAATCCCCCCCCCCCGCCCCCAAGACAGGTTATTAGGGTCCCAGGCTAACTGGCGTGGGGGGGAGAAGCCAGGGTGCCCTCGCGTGTATAACCCCCTCCCACCCCATGTGTGTGCGAGATTCGTAGCTTCGTGCCCCCCAAACTCCTGTGACCTCTGACCCCCCATGACCCCCGACCCCGCTGCTGTACATAGGCGGATGCTAGTTTTGCTAACGAAATAAAAGCAACTATTTTATTACGCGTTACTCTGCTCTCTGCCCCGGGACTGGATTCACTTCATGGGTGTGAGCAGGACAGGCCCACCCAAGGATGCCAGATCAGCCATGTGCGTAAATGGGACAAGCCCACCCGGGGTTGTTGGATTGGCCATGTGTGTGAATGGGACGGGCCCACCTGGGGATGCTGGACCAGCTCTGTGTGTGTGTGTGAGAGTGTGTGTGTGAGAAAGAGAGAGAGCGAAGGGATGCTGGATCAGCCACGTGTGTGTGAATGGGACAGGTGGACCCAGGGACCCCAGATCAGCCATGTGTCCGTGTGTATGTTGTGCGTGTGTAAATAGAATGGGCCCACCCAGAGACACATTAGCCACATGTGTGAATGGGATGGGGACACCAGATCAGCTGCATGGGATAGGCCCATCTGGGGATGCCAGATCAGCTGTGTGGGTGTGAACGGGTCAGACCCACCCAGGGACACCAGATTAGCCACATGTGAATGGGATGGGCCCACTAGGGATGCCAGATTAGCCATGTGGGTGTGAACAGGAAGGGCCCACCAGGGGACGCCAAATCAGCCGTGTGGGTGTGAACCAGACGGGCCCACCTGGGGATGCCGCATCAGCCGTGTGTGTGTGAATGGGACACATCCACCCAGGGACACCAGATCGAGTAGGTCTGTGTGCGGATAGGATCGGGATCAAACAGCTGGGCAAATGGGATTAGCCAGCCCTTGAAAACATGTCCCAAGAGGGGCCCATCAGTGCCACCTGCTCCCCAACAGCCTGGCCTGGCCCCTGCCGGGGCTCACGCACCCACATATTCCTCCCAACATGGCTCTGGCTATACTGGTTTCACTGATCCAGACTTTTTTTTGGGTGGTGGGGGAGGAGCTAGCAGAGGCATGGGAAACTGAGGCAGAGGGAATTGGGGCTGGTGACTAGGGGAAAACTGAGGCAGAAGTGGAGGCTTCAGTATGAAGCTCTAGGGGGGTTGGACGTCCACCTCCCTGCAAACCCCACCTCAAATATGGGGCCTGACCCTGGCAGAGGGACACAGATGCCTCCCCACCCCACCCCGCCCCAAAGTCACAAGCATGGCAGGGCTCTGCACACACACTTTATTCCAAAGGGGGGGTTACAGGGAAGAGGGGGGTTTACACGCACGTGCCACTGCACACGTGTGCTTAGAGCCTGCCCAGTGCTGGGTGTGGGGGGGAAGATTAGGGTGCCCCCTCAACACCTCTATGTACACAGTCCATGCAGGGGGAGGCCCCCCCACACTGTTCCCAGGGTCTTCACGCCTGTGCAAGTGGAGGGGGGGGCAAGAGATTGTGTCCCTCTCCCAATGCCCCCCACCAGAGTTCCCAGAGACCTCGTTGAAGCCGGGGCAGGAGGGTCGACTGGGCTCCCCTGGACCCTCAAGGGTGCTACGCCAGCCCCATCTCCTCCAGCACGCTGCGTGGAGATTCATCCTCCTGGGGGG